CCATAGGAAAACGTGCCGTGCATTCCGCGCACTGTCCATGGATTTTGCATGACTTCGAGAATACCCTCCCTAATGTGTTCTTTAGTAACTATTTACAAGTAGCAAACATCTAAATTTCATTGTGGATGCGGGTAGAATACCTATCCAGTAAAAATATTTGTTCGGAAAGATTTTTCTTTTAGGGTTTGTCGCCTAGAAACGGGCGTGGATTTCGGCAGAATACCTATTCGCCAAGAACGTTTCGTCGCCTGGGTAAAAGATTTGTCGTATGTTGATTGCGGCAGGTTGTGGGAAATCGCGATTTAAGTTTGGAATGCAATTTCTCAAAAACCGCGAGGATAGAATTTCTTCAAAGTCTCTGAAAATCTTACTAGTTCACAAAATTCTTAAATTATTTAATTTTTAATGTTTATTATTAATTATTTTTGAGTTTATGAAGGGTTTTATTTAGCAAAATTTTGTCGTAAGCGTCATTTGTCCACAATTTGGCAGCCACATAGTATGAAATACGACAAAGTTTGATCAAAATTTCTACTAAATTAATGACGCTTTATACTCAATATCTCGGAAACTAAAGGAGATATCCATAAATGGAGAATGCCATTTTTAAGACATTGATTTGTTGTTAAATTATCGAAAAAATTTTGTCAATATCTCGGAAACTAAAGGAGATATCTAAAAGCAGATAAAATCAATAGAAAGACGTTATTTCAAAATATAACCAAAAATCGTCAAAATGGCGCTTACGACCATCTTTTAACCAGGCGACGTAGAAAACCATTTTTTTTTAAGTTATTGCAAATTCGTCTTCAAATTATTTTTTTTTTTTTATTTTACAGCCTATAAAATGTGAATGCACTTCAAATGATAGCCTTCGCACTTCACTACACATTCGCATTTTATTTGGTTTTCGAAAACATCAACAACATTGTCTTAGCTTTACTATTGTTGAAGATATGAGCGTTACGGTAAAGTACTATTTTCGAAAATGGACTATTTAAATTTTTGAGCAGTGCCGGAAATACTTCTTAATAAGATTTCAGGCCCATGCGGTTTATTAAAGTTTATTTTCCAACTAATTTGATACACAAAACAAAAAATTAAATTAAATTGAAAACCGCAGTTTTTTTTATCTTTTTTCACAATATTACCCACAATGTTGGTTATCCTTGCGTAGACCCTGGTTTAAATATGTTTTTTTTTCAAAACAAGTACCTAATTTAAAATCTCGAAAATTCTCGGTCGGTAAAACTTGAAATACTGTTTATAAGCTACATTTTCCGTTAATCTGAACAATATATCTAAATTGAATATATGTACATACATCTTAAAGATATATATCGTCGTTTAAAGTGCAAAACCGAGTATCAACAAAATACAAAACCGCATATCAGCAAAATGCAAAACCGCGTATGTGAAGTTGTGGATATTATTTTCTAGAGCGTAAAAACACTCATAATTCAAAATGGTCCTCTTTTTTATAAAGCAATCGCATTTCTGGCTAGTATATTTCAGTACGAATGGATAAGGATTGAGCCAAGAGCTTGTGTGAGCAAATCCAATTTTTGGCAGCCAATGTCAGTTACGCGGTTTTGCAGAATGACGATACGCGGTTTTGTAATTTAAACGACGATATGATTTACGTAGGTTGTCATTAAATAATGTATGGCTTTATTTACAAAAGATATCAGAATTTGAGAATTTTTCTCGATGTCCTGCCATATAAATCTTTAAATTTTGTAACAGAACGTGTAGTTTGTCTAGCACACGGAGTTCTATCCGGACAGTCCCAGCCCTCGTGTAATCACATTAAAAATTCACACATACACAAAAACATATTTATTTTCTTTAGGTGATATTCGAAAAAGTTTGTCATGTTTTCCAAGATAATTTAGTCGAGACTTGCATTGATGAACAAACTTGTTTTGGAGAAGCTAGAAGGACTGGCCAATGTCTTGACTGCAGTTTGCCTGTCACTACAGACAATTCACCTTCCACAATTCCTACCTCTCCACCTATTTTCCACCAAGTAATCCATGATCTTGAGCAATGTGAATACCTCGGCTTATTCCGCAATAGACAAGTTACGATTATCCGCCTTACAGTGGTTCTATCGATTATTTTTGCATAGAAGTGGAGAAATATCAAATATCACAGGGCAATTTTGCGAAAACAATTGCAATACTTTGACACTTTTTACTAATTAATTCATAATTCTCTCTTTGTTTTCGTCATTGTCTTTGATTTTTCAAAGACATTATAATGGTAAGTAAACTTGACAATTCGGTGATGTTTAAATTGCCTAAGTTAGGTGAGATAAGTGATCACAGTGACACTGAGAAGGCATTTAACCGGCCATCTTCACGTGCTGGAAAATGTAGCTTGCGTGACGACGCATGCGAGATCCCGCACGTGTAGACCGCATGCTTTCAACTACCATTTTTGTTGTTTGACAGATATTTTCTCATTTCGCAAAATTCTTCAAAGTAGAAACAGCGTTTAGTTTGGTGGAAAATACCTGAAAAGCTCGAACCTTCTCTTTTGGCGACATTTTACAAATGAAAAAGTACCCTGTCAAGTGCCCAGTCAACAAAACTCTATCTCGCTTGGGAGAAAAAAAAGCAGAATGCAAGCGAGATTTTCAAGCATGTGAAGACGGCCTGTAACTTATGCTTGAGTTATGAGAAAAACAAGCAAAACAAATTTGAAGGCCGATTATTTTCCTGTGTGAGATTATCCTGTGTAAACTAGGTGATTAACAAAAGCTTTGATTGAGATTATTTTTATATGTAACCGCACTTTTACTTCGAAGTTCTAAAAACCACGTGCATGCGATTTAAGTACATAGTAGCGTTTCTGTATGTAAACAAATACCAGTTTGTTGACTGGAATGTACGTATAAATATTTGCAAATCTAATTAGTAGCTACATTAAAGGTAACCGGTTCAATGCATCACCTTTTTAGCGCTGCATAAGAAACATGATAACCAAACAGAGCTGATCACTGTAATTCGAGGCATACGTACATACATATTTATATGCATATCGCTCGTTTGCAGGAAGAATGTCATAATCCAACAAAAGTCTTCATAAACGGATGGCAGTCCTTCGTTTATATAGAGTAAAAGATAAATGTATAACGATATCTGTCAATTGGACTCTTAGCAGTTATAAGTAGGAAAGGGAAGGCTGGGTTAGAGATTGACATACTAGTGAAATGTTTAGTGATTTTCGGGATTTTTCCAAACTTTTCACGATTTGTTGTAGAAACCAGAAAGCGTTATCTTATTGAATTCTATAAAACAAATCGATATTAAAATCATTAATCGATTATTTTTTATCTGGGCCATTCCATTGGGACTGGTGAGACATTTAACTCCAGAATGTGATAAATTTTGAATTATAACTATATCGTATTTTTTAACATAGACCGATAACAAATGTATAAAATTGCTTTAACAAAAATAACAAACGATTTCTTAGATTTATGTAGTTATCATTTGAATGAATGTGACTGAGGGAACACTTAAAAAACTCGATTTTACCTTTGTGCACTGAAAGATGAATTTTGGCCAAAACACTTAATTTTCGCGGAACTTGTTTTTGTGTTGTAAAATATGAACTAAACGCTTTCTTAATCTTTAGAGAAATATTAAAAAAATATTTAAATTCGTGATTGGTGGAATATGTCCTTGTGACTGGTGTAAAGTAATTAAGGATGAAGTTTGAAAAGTTTGCATAGACAAAAATTACAACTTATTTTTATTACAACGTTTTTTTTTAATATCTTTCAACTGATTAATGAAATGCAGTCATTTAAAAAGAGGTTACTACTGAAATAGAGATAATTAGGGCATATTTAAATATATGTCGTTTTCCTCTTTTGCCTGGAATGACCCGTCTATAATAAAACTCCTTTCTTGAGAGTTATTTTATCTCTTCGACATAAAAATTAATTTTTGAGTTTTTTTTTTTTTGACAGTTCGAATAACGCGGAACGCCGCGCGGCTTTTCTAATACATACATAAGTGTTGAGTGGTATACATTTTTTGCTATGCACTTGTCAACATATGCACTCAAAAATTAAAATTGAGCATAACTCGATATATGACTTTCTGTACATATTTTCTGAGCGATTAATAAAAATCGAAAAACCCTCAGCGGATTGCTTTTCCTACACTCTATAATTTTTAAATCGTAAGAGATTCTTACAGTGCATCAAAATATACGGACATATCTACGGTACTTATAAACTTTTAAATTTTTTCATTGAAATTTTAAAAATAATCATTATTTCGCTTTCCGGTAGGAACTTTGCGGATATTTCTGTCCTATTTTTTTTAAGATTTTTCGGGGTACTTCGGGTGGTACTAATTTGATTTAGATGCTATCATTGGACCGCGAAGAAATTTATGGCGCTCATTTAGATATAAGAATTGAAGTAGGATGGGTTTTTTTGCTTAAAAATTACTTGTGCGTCGTGGAAAATTTTCCAGTACTCAGATACAAACTTAATACAAATTTTCTATTTCCATAAAAAATTAATTTTTTTTAAATTCTGGTTCATATATGTACCTACATATAAATGCTAGATGAAAACCCGGTTTAACCGAGTCATTCAGTGAATGACATTCACCCTAGTATCTATCAATCATTCTCAATATTTAGTGGCAACCAAAACTACTTATGTAAGTACATAGTACTTGATTATTTACTACAACATAAATACCTACATAATTTAGTACTTATTAAGTATTTTGTAAGTATTTAGTAAATATTTTTTGGCACTTCACTGCTTGGAAGCCGGTTTTGTGCGTATTTGACATTATTTTTTTATTTTTATTTACCACGTTCTTCGAGTTAGCAAACGATCAAGTTGTGCCAAGTGCAAATAAATAAATATTTTACAATTTTGCTGCTATTAGTAACTGGTCTTGAACTTTTAAAGAATATTGGCATTGACAGAATTCAATTGAATAAATTTGTATGTATGTACTCACTTTTTTGCACGTGCACATTATAGCTTAGATCCCGAAATTGTATATCTATGGGTTTGACGCGCTCCTTCAGCAGCGTACTGTGCGATTCCATGCCGTGTGCCATTTCGTTTTTGTAGTTGTTTGTTTATTATTAGTACTTTTTTTTTTGGTTTTGTTAAACAAAGATATTTAAATTTTGTATAGGTATGTAAATATTTCTACTTTTACTCGCGTGCGTTCACAGCCGTACAGAATTTTATTGGATATTTGCACTTTAAATTGAATTCAATATTTGTTTTTTTTGTCTTTAATGTATTTGACTTTGTTTCACTCTACACAATAAAATGCCCTGTGTGCACATATATTTGTGTATGTATGTATGTATATTCATATGCAAATTTCCATTTTAGTTTTTTGTTTTTGTTTGGAGGTTCTTTCTGCAGGCAGCCCCACCAGTCTAGTAATCTGAAAGAAGTGACACTTGTTTAGCTACTCATTGCGTTGCGGCGACGACAGCAGGCAGCGACAGAAAAAAACGCACTCCGTCTAAAAAAGAAAAAATAATAAAAACAAAGTTAAGTTAAAATGTAAAACTGCTTTAATTTTATTAAAATTATGCATGCAAAAAAACTTGAAAGCAAAGTAAGAAAATTTCAATCTTTCCGAAAATTCGAAAAGGTGAGTGGGAATTGACTTCGTCGGTTTTAATTAAGTTGATTGTAAAATGGAAATGAAATTCTACTTCCAAATTAATCAACATACATACGTAATTGTACACTTGGCGAATATGTCGCTATGTTCGTACACTAGGGTGCCGCACCAAAAAAAAAAGATAAGGTGTTTCCACCGGAGTTATAGAATTTATTATATACTTTAGGATATAAGCCAAAATATTTCGGAAAAGTATTAAGATTTATGTGCGCTAGACCGATTTGAAAATACCACAAAAATCTCATTATATTGATTCCTTTGATCAAGCTTTTAAACAATTTTGGTCACATTTTTTAAGCTTAAACTCTTTTATCGTGATTTTTTGGAAAATATTTTTAAGGTTTAGTTTTATTTATCTGAAAAAAATCAACTTTTGGAGATATTTTAAAATCTTAATATTTTTCCCAAATATATTGGTGGAAGTCTTAAAATATATAGAGGTTGTTCACACTTGTCTGGTTATCTTGTTTAAAATTATTATTGTGTAGCGTATTTTATTGTTGTGAACTGAATAAAAAATATAACCACATAACCAAGTGTGAACAACCTCAATAAGTTTTATGAGTCCGACGAAAAAATGTACTGATTTTTTTGTATGGAGAGTTAAACACCCTAATGTACATACATCCAGCTTTTCAGTTTTGTTTTAAATTTTTCACTCTCTCAATTTGCGATTATTGTCTGCGAATAGTTAGTAATAAAATGCTCATATTTCAATCTTTTTTTTTGCTTTGTTTACAAATTCTAACGGATAAGTGCTACTGAAAAGAATTTGTTTATTTATCTTTGTTGTAAAATAAGCAAACAGGTGCTTTTACACTTCATTTACAATGATTGCCAGCAAAATGATCACTCAAATTTCTTAACAAAACAAAATAAAAAATTAGCATTTACGACTTCCAGTGGCGGCAAGGAAGCTTCTTGACATTATGACACCCGTCAATCTCAAATTGACTTCAATAGCAGTGTTTTTGAGGTGATGTATGTATGTACGTACAGGGTGGCGCAAAAAGTATGACCCTATTTGAAGTCGCTAAAACTTTATCAGATGGCAGTAAATATATATATAATTGTTTTTTTTTACCACTTTACGGGTGAAAGCTTCCAAATTTATTGTGAGTTTCAACATGCAGAGCTTACGCTACCAGAAAGCGGAAAAGTTATATATAGCTAGAAGACGGAGGAAGACCGAGGGAACAAAGTTTTTGTGCATAAAAATTGTCAAATTTAGCATTTATAAAGTGTAATTTTTATTAAAATATTTGGTCCCTCGTCCTGTTTTTTTTCTCTATTTTAAAAATAATGAAAACGAAAGTTATAAGAAATGCACATATTTACAGCCCGACGCTGTGCACTTGATAAATTAATGGCGATTTCGTTTCTAAAGAAATGTTGCCTTCTCATCGCCTTCTTCTTAGTGTTTGAGGGCAAAGAGAAGGTTGCATTTTTCGGTAGAAACGAAATCGGCATACAACTTTTTATAATTTGTAAATTTTTTATTATTTATCAAGAATTGAGATTCTAGTACGGAAATCAAAAGCTCTTTTCTTGATAAATTAACATGATTGAAAATGCTCTTGACAAGCGTTTACAAATGGAAATTTCATATAGAATTTTCAATCTTGATAATTTATCAAGAAAAGAGCTTTCGATTTCATTGCTAGAATTCCAATTCTTGATTAATAATAAAAAATTGGCAAATGATAAGCAAATTTTATTTATCAAGTACACAAAATCGGGCTGTAAGAACAAACATGTCATTAGGCTATACTTTTTTGAAGCCACTAATGGAAACTTGGTAACCGTCACTGGCGAACAGTGCGCCGGACCATGTTGAAGGAGTTCTTAGCACCGAAACTGGATGAGCTGGAGTTGCAGGATAAATATGTGATTCCAGCAAGACGGTATCACTGTTCACACAGCTCGCGTCACCACGAATATTGCGAGGATCACTTTCTCAGGACGTTTGATTTCTCGATTAAGACATTTCGGTTGGCCAGCCTGATCGCCCGATCTGACGGCCCCAGACTACTTTACGTGGGGTTACTTAAAGAGTAAACAAACCGCAGAGTCTCCAGGCCCTTAAGAAGAACATTCGCCAAGAAATCACCAATCCACGCTGGAAATATTGATAAACGTAGTACAAAATGACTTTAGAAGAGCTGAAATTTAGATCTACTATGGTGGCCGCAACCTATTAGATAACATTTTTCAACCTTAAAAAATTAAATTCATTGCTTCAAATAAACTTATGCCATTAAAAAGTACATAACTGTATTTTAATTATTTTTGAAATGACGAAATAATCAAATCGGATGATACTTTTTGCGCAACCTTGTATATATAGTACTGGTATGTATGGTATGTATGAATGTACATATGTATGTATGTATGTATACATGTAATTTAGCTTTTGACATTCCAACTACCTGTATTTTGTAAACACAGGTTTTAAGCTATATGAACAGACATACACGCATACGGGTATTACATACATACGTGTATGTACGTATGTACATTAGAACTGGCCGCTAAGAAATCGAAAAATATTTAAGCTCATAATTTTGTTCCCCCCCCAACCATGTATGTATATGAAACTAAGTATTTCATGTCATGTTAATTAATGTCCAACATGTAAACAAATAGTTAACATATTCAAATTTAATGACTACATATACATTTCTCAGATATTTTCCCGAATTTTTAAGGTCAATGTGGGTAAATATTAATATTTGGAAGTTCCACATAGCCGTAAAGTTACCCAAATCTACTTTGTCCTCTTACCCAAGGCTGAAAAATAACCCTTGAGACCCTTCAGAATATCGTCATATATGAATAATAGACATGACGAAATAACTGCTAGAGCGTGACTGCAGAATTCAAAACAAAAAAAGTTATTTTTTTGCTAATAAAAGTTGCTTTTGCTAGAGAATTAAAGTCTCGATCGAAGTAAGGTAAGAAAAACACAATTTGAACTTTGATTGACTTGGGCGCGCCGGAGACATTAATGAGATGAAGATCCAAAAAAACGGATTTTCAGCCTACCCTAATGTACATATTTACTCATGCATGAATACCTTCAGGTTCAACTTGCTTGCAAAGTACATATAGCGCTGGTTATAACAAGATTTATGCCAAGCGAAAATAGCAAAAACTTGAATAAAAATGTTCTGTTATTCTTCTGAGCACTCACTACCTGTTGAAAATGTTGCAAGTCATCAATTAAAATTTATGTCTTCTGTACTACGAGTATAAGTAGCAAAATTGTATGTTATTACAGCGTAAGGGTAACGAGGAAACTTCATTTTAACTGAAATGCATTCAGTTATTTTTTTCTACAAATGCCTACATACATATGTATGTATGTACATATGCATGGAGAAACATACATACATACATACAGACATATGGACGTGTTGCAAAAGTTGTTGCTAATTATTGCGAGAAAATATTTATAACGATTTTTCTACTTCCGCCTATTTGGGGTTAATAGTGAGTTGAGGCGAAAATTTAAACTGCAGCCTCACAAGAATTGGGCAGGTTAAAATAAAGTGTTAAGATGATTCCATTTCATCATCGCGCAAACAACTGCGACAGCTTGATACTTAGCCGTATTTCCATTAGTCAGTGTCCACTAGAATTGAGACTTGTCGCTTCGTGAGCCAAACGGAATTCTGGCAACTGTCTTTCGCAGGACAATTCTTGCAACTAAATGGAACATCTGCTAACATGAGATTCCTAGCATTATTCCATTTGTTTTTCAGCTATAAGTTTTCTAAAAATTCAATGAAATAAAAGATATATATTTTGCCTTTTAAAACAACATATTAAAAAATATATATATTAAAAAAGAAAGAAAGTTTTATTTAAAAAAAAGTATCTAAATAAAATAAGTTCCTAAAAATATAATGTAATATAAAAACAATAAAATCTACAAATTAAAAGAAAACTATATCCAAAGAGAAAAAAAATTAAATGAAATTTGAAAAAAAAAACATTTTTTCTTAAAGCCAAAACTTAAAAGAAACTTCAATAAAAAAAAAAATAGTAATATAAAAAAATTATTCTAAGTTTCTAGAAGAAATCGAGAAATGGTTTATTTTTTAAAAACAGTAAAATTAAAAAATAAAATAAAAAACGGAAAGTGAAAACTTAAAAAAAGAAAAAGAGTAAAATAAATTTCTGAAACTTAAAAAAAATAAAACATATTTTACTTTTGAAAACAATGCAATCAAAAAATTATAAGATAATTTAATTACAAAACAAATTAAAAAAAGTAAAAAAAAAATTATGTATAAGTAGGAAAAACATTTTTTCAACACTTTGAACATTGATGGAATTGGCCTTTGCTATTGATAAGATAAAGATTCTAAAAGGTCGAATTTACAGCCCAGCCTAATGTACTTATTTACTCGTGCAAGAAAACCTTCAGGTTCGACTTGCTTCCAAAGTATAACACTGGATATAACAAGGCTTATGCCAAGCTAAAATAGCAAAAATTAAAAACAAGAAAAACTAGCTGAATGTAGAACAATAAAACTTAAAATTTAAATTAAATTAAATTAAAAAGAAAAAAATGTTATGACAGTAAAAAATATTTTTTAGAATCAAATGGATCTAAGTGAAATTTTTTGAAAATATAAGTTATACCCATATTTGTATAGTTAAATATAGTGTTTATGTGGTGACAAAGAGTAACATTCATTTAAATTAGTTTATTAACCTGCATTTAGGCAAGAATCATTTCAAATTCATTTATCCAGAATTTAACTTTAATTTACTTTAACTTAATTATGTCAAAAAAATCTCAGAACTACTTAGATCCTTTTGATTCT